TTTCACAGCTGATAATGAGCTTCTCCAGCGGTTCTTTCCACATATGTAATCGATCTGATTCCTATGCATGCCATCAGGTGAAATCCACGTATATAATCTGCGTTTATGCCTCTTAAAAAATGTATTTGCTATGAATAAGTCATTGATTGTGCAAAATTCGATCATTCTCTCTCCAGCTCCATTTCTGTCACCGAGTCCATGTTTACCACCACCCATAGGTGGTACATATTACTCATGATTAAATGTACCAAAAAACCCTCCCCACAAAACCCAAAGAATTGAAAGTATAATTCATTGTAACTGAAATGTGTCATAGCCTAGAGACTCTCTCTCTCTATTCCATCAAAAGTGATATGGGGGGGGGGGTTTGTGCGGGGAGAAGGGTGCAACAATGAATGAATGGAATTCCAAAATCTCTGTAGATGTTAATTGAAATGAAAAATAAACAAACTAAAAAAAAAGTGATATATGCTGATCCTTACCTGGCACCCTACAGTGTCATGTTGTTTCACACTCACTCTGAGTCAGTTAAGAAGTCCATTTTCTTCATTCATTCATTGTTGATGGACCTTTTGACTGTTTCCATTTCCTTGCTATTGTAAATAATGCTGCTATGAACATAAGTGAAAATATCTCTGTGTCTCAGTTCTAATTTCCTTGGGGTCCATTCCTCGTATTGCAATAGCTGGGTCATAAGAGATTCCTATGATCACCTGTTTGAGTAAACAGCAAACTGCCTTCTACAATGGTTGTACCATTTTACAATCCCATCAGCAGTGCTTTAGAATTCCAATTTCCCAACATCCCCCACCACATTTATTGCTTGCTGTGTTGTTAAACTTTGCTACTGCTACTGGGGTGAGACAGTATCTCATTGGGGGCAAGGGAAAAAAGAAAAAGGGTAAAAAAAGGAGAAGGGTAAAAATCATTAGGATTACAAGATGTGATTGGGAGAGAAGGAGGGAATGGAAAAGATTCAATGGAGACTTGAGAGGATGATGTAACAAAACAATTATATGGTATAGACTCATGATTGTGAGAAAACAATGTAAATGAGGGATTGTATGGAAAACAATGTATATGAATGAAATAATATATATAAATGATTGTATGAAGACAAGCAAAATAAAAGATATTAAGAACTGACAACTTTAAAAACCAAAAACACTTTAAAATATAGATGACTTAAATGGAAACTAAATTTGCAGCTACTTATTTTGTGTTATATTGAATGTTAAATTATACGGATCTGTCAGTATTGCTTGAAAGGCTTCTGTTTGCTCTCATGTATATCTATCCTCAATTTAACAGGTATTAGCAGAAGTCACTATCAGTGCTCAGGCTTCAGCCAAAGTGAAAAATGAAGTACAGGAGGTGAAAGACAAAGCCCAAAAAATTGTGGATGAAATTGATTCTGAAAAAGTGAAAGCTGAGACCAAACTTGAGGCAGCTAAGCCGGCACTGGAGGAGGCAGAAGCAGCCTTGAATGTGAGTAGTGTTTCCATACATGAAATTGACTATGACCATTCTGTATACAGAAAGTGGAGCTGAAGTCAGTAGGATTAATAATCTTTGAGTCTGGAACCAGATATTTCCACTGAGTGTCCTTACTAAGTTTTTAATTTTTAAAAAGTCTTTTCTTCCTGTAAATTTATTCTTTTTGTTCCATAATTCAACCTTCCCCGAGAATTGAGAATTGAGAAATAAGGCTGGTGATTATTGGTTTAAAGCACAGCATGAAGGCTTTGGATTCTATGTAAAACTTTCTTGATTCCTCCATCCCCTACAGATTCTAATACACTCATTTATTAAAGTCCTCTTGGGGTTTCTGTGCTCTCAGGATGAAATCTAAGCCAGCATGCACAGCTGCGTTGGAGAGTAGTGGATCTACGTTTTCCTCTCATAACCATCCTTTCTTAGATAAATGATCTGTAGTAAATTTACTCACCTATTTTTGGATTTCCATGGGGTTTATAGCTCCCTACTGATCCTTGAGGGATGATCAGTGTAAGCTAAAACTGTTGAGTCCAAATTAGTTGGTACATCTAATGTACTCAAGAAATATCAATGCTGTTGCTGGCCTGGCTTCTTTCTGGCTATACCTTGAGCTTCCTCTCCTGACATCCTCCTCAAACATTCAAACACATTGAAGGTTTGTGGCTACATTGTGTTAAACACACTTATTAGCACCATTTTCCCAACAGCACATTCTCACTTTGTGTCTTTGTGTACCATCTTGGTAATTTTCATGATATTTCAAGCTTTTTATAATGTTATGCACACTTTAAGAGACCATAAAACCAAAAAAACCAACCCCCTTGCCATGAAATCGATTCCAATTCTTAACGACCCTCCACTAGGTTACCAATATTTATGCTAGGGCAGTACTTGTCTTTCTCCTTCAAAGCAGTTGATGGATTAGAATTGCCTGTCTTTTGATTTACAGCCTGACACATTATAGTCTAGTGCAAACATAACTTTCATAGACACTGTGTGATGGGGGAAAAGTTCGGTGAACGGCTCTATTACCATATTTGCTTTATTGCGGTGTGCTGGAATTGAAGCCACACTATCTCCAAAGGAGGTCTGTAGCCTGCTTGAGGCACACCTTTATAAATGTACCTCTTTTTTGAGAGAATGCATTTCCTAACCTTCGCTGAGTAATAAATGCCATTCTTCAAGACTTCACCAGCTCCAGAATGTTTTCCCTCCTGAGTCTCCTTTTGTTTTCCTATCACTCCTAGGCTTCAGTCACAGCAGGTTTCCTCTAGATAAGGGTAATTGTGTCTTTTCTGCCCTCTTCAGGAGACCTGGGGCATTGACAAAGGAATGTTGGTGATAATTTGAATTAGCTTTAAAGTTGTGAAGAAACTTAACAAACAGAAATGACAAAGTAACGGTAGACTTGTGCAAAAATTGTGAAATTTATGCCTTTGAGGAAGTAATATTAGAATTTGAGAGACACTAAATTTTCTGGTTTTACCTTAATTATTTGAAGTGTTAGATCTCCATCTGGTTAGCAATATTAATGAACTGTGATTATATTTATTCTGAACTCCAAATGCAGACTATCAAGCCAAATGATATTGCCACAGTTAGAAAGCTTGCAAAACCTCCACATCTTATTATGAGGATTATGGATTGTGTTCTGTTACTGTTTCAAAAGAAAATCGACCCTGTTACTATGGATCCAGAAAAACCCTGCTGCAAGCCATCCTGGGGAGAGTCATTGAAAGTAAGTTGAATCTATCTTTGTAATCCCTGTAACATGCATCAGGTGTCCCCAGCCAAGGACGGTCAATACAGCCCAGACAAGCTGACAGGTGATAATCAATTCTTGTGTATCAAAGAGCTTATTTTAAACTACCCCCCCAAATCTAAATAGGGACAGATTTTAAAACGGAATGGCTCCATTTTATGAAGTCTGTTCAGAACTGGTAGCCTAGGTTTGAAAAGGTGAGAGAGGAGCTGTGTGGCATTTAGAACTCTCTGGATATACACATATTTTTCTTCCTTACTCTTTCCCTAAAGAACAGAAGACAACATGCGGTTTAAAGATTTAAGGTGGCTGTTGTCATAGGCTTGATTTATATGTCCAGGGCAAAGCAATTGTTACTTCAATTTGGAAATACATACTAAGTCCAAGGAAGAAGGTATTTATTTTCTCTCCCAAGTCACAAGTTGTGGTGCTATTTTTCAGTTGATGAGTGCAACAGGATTTCTGTTCAGCCTTCAGCAGTTCCCCAAGGACACTATAAATGAGGAGACTGTTGAGTTACTACAGCCATATTTTAATATGGATGACTACTCTTTTGAAAATGGCAAAAAAGTCTGTGGGAATGTGGCTGGTCTGCTGTCCTGGACACTTGCTATGGTGACTTTTTATGGCATCAATAGGGAAGTGCTGCCTCTGAAGGTAAATTTTTTCCTTCTTTTCCACCTCTCCATAAACCAATATTGTTTTAAGTTTGTCTTATTTTTTTAAAAATCAGTCGTCATTGTTACTGCTATTGAAAGAAAGACAAAGCATGTAGATTAAGAAAGGTAGATGTTCTTGTTAACAATTTTTTCTGTACGTCTTCTCAGTACTTCTGATTCCTTCCAGAGCCCTAACATGGTCAGAGACAAGGAAACGAAAGCAACTCTTTCGCTTAAATAAGAAATTAACTAAATTGTGAAAAGATCTTCAAATTATCATAAGACACACTTGCCATTTCTTAGAACTTTGAATTTTGGATTAAGAGACTGAGTTTTATTAGTGTATTCCACACAGAACTTATAAAAATAGAATGTTTTCCATTTCAAAAGTTAAAAAATTTATGCATCTTAAAAGTGAACAATCAAAAGTTGTTTACAAAAGAAATCAGTGTTGTGAGCCTCTCATAGCCGTTAATGCTGGAAAATAATGGGGAAGCATATGCAGAGCTTTGAGAGGGAAATTGCTGTTGTTCAAGTACTCAATAACAAGAATTCAGGCTGTCCTTCATGCATGAGGGAATAGAAGGACATCTTCAAGGACACAGCAGAGGTATTGGGTAGTAAGCAGAGACATCTACACACACACACACACACACACACACACACACTCTCAGCTACTTGATCAGGCTGTCCTTCATGTCTGAGGAAACAGAAATACACTCTCTGAGATGCAAAAAATCATAAAATATACCTATCATTCCTGAATCCTTCTTGAATTGAAAAGAATTTTATATAGTTACATTGTGGAGTAGGAAATGGTGAAGAGGTGGAGAGAGGTTACCCTTTCTTTCATAATAAATCTACTAGAAATTAGCGCCTCTTTACCTGTGCTTTTAGAAAAAAAATACAATTAAAAATAAGACCATTTTAACAAAGGGAAAAAATGGAGAAAATAGCAGATAACAATGCTACTATAAATATGTATGTTACTGTGTTTTGTACCTCTGAATTTGAACCAACTCCTAGCTGACCCTTCAGCAAGTTTTCTTGAGGCAATAATCATTCGCGAGGAGATTGCTCATCTTTGTCCCACAGAGTAACTGGTAGATTTCAAACATGTGCCTTTGGGTTGCCGGTTCACCTCCTTACTACTAGGCTACCAGAGCTCCTGACTATAAATGTAGATAGAGCCAAGGGAAAGTATGTATGATATAGCACAGCTGTCTTTTAAAAAATAAAAAATTCTGATAAACAATGAAGATTTAATTGTAATAACGTTCCATGCAATAAGTCAAGTAGCATCAGCTTGTGTAAAACTTTTTGTGTGTTAAGTGGAAATTAGCAGATGAAAATATATTGTAATTTGTGATTATGGCATAAGCTGTTAATTTGTGACAGTTGGTGTAAATATGTTATTATAGTTGTTCAGTGCCATTAAGTTGGTTCTGACTCATAGTAACCCCATGGAACATAACTGTATATCCTCAACCATTTCTACATTTGAGACTATGGTTGTAGCCATTTGGTCAATCCACTTTGTTGAGAGTTTTTGTATTTTTCACTAATCCTCTACTCTATCAAGCAAGCATCGAGTTGGCGTGATGGCAAAGACTATGCCATGGACTGCCAAAGGAACAAACATCATTGGGCTTGGAGCAAGAACAACCAGGGAACTCCTTAGATGCAAGGATGGTGAAACGTGGGTATGTTGTCAGGAGGGGCCAGTCCTGGGAAAAGGACATGGGAAAGTTAGAGGGACACAGCAGAGAGAAGACCCTCAAGGAGATGGACTGACACAGTGACTGTGATGATGGGCACAGCGGAGGTCATGAGGATGGTACGGGATAGGGCAAGGTTGTCCATAGGATCCCTGTGGCTTTTAGTTGACTTGATGGTGCCTAATTAAGCCTGACACCAAGCCTAAGCAAACCTCACCTCATGCTGAGACTAACTGAATAACTCTGAGCCTAACTAAACCTGACATTGAGCCTTTCTAAGCCTGACTCTGATAGATCCTTCCTGATGTTGTTAGGCACCCTTGAATTGACTCTGGCTAATAGTGACCTCCTCTACACAATAAAATAAAAATACTGCCCCATCCTGTGCTGTCCTCACAATCACTGCTTTGTTTGAGCCCATTGTTTTGACCATTGTGCATTGTGTCAATCCATCTCCTGGAGTGTCTTCCTCTTTTTTTTTTACACAGAACAAGAAATTTTATTATCTCCAAGGCTGGTGTATAACAAAGAACAAGCTTACCCAGAGGAGGAGAAGAGAGGGAACTGTCAGATGCCAAGGCTGGACTTCTGGGCAGGCTTAACACCTTTCAAAAGCTGATAGTGTTAACTGTTCAGTCTTTTTTAAATGTACAGTTCTTCTTTTACATGACAAATTTCACCAATAGTTCTTATAATATGAAGTTCAATTAAGTCTTTCTCTTGTGAAATTAAAAGCCCAAAAATAACACCCAGAAATTTTCCCTTGTGTGTTAGGAATCATTCTTTGACTTTCACTGAACAGAGTAATGTCTAATCTTTTTCATTAAAAAAGTCTTAGGTTTTTACTTTTTAAAATGGTCTTCCTCTTTTTCATTAGCAAGCATAATATCCTTCTCCAGGAACTGGTTCCTCTTGATAACATGTCTAAAGTATGTAAGAAAAAGTCTCACAGTCCTTTCGTCAAGCCAGATTTGTTCTTCTTACAGTTCATAGCATATTCAGTAGTCTTCATCAATACCAAAACTAAAAAACATTCAGTCTTTAGTTTTCCTTGTTCATTGTCTAGTTTTCACATGGCTAGGAGGTTTTAAAAATACCATGGATTGGGTTAAGTACACCTTAGTCTTTAAAGGGTTATCTTTCCTTTTTTAACACTCTAAAGTACTTCTTTAACAGAAGATATGCATAATGTAATGCATGATTTCTTGACTGCTGCCTTTGTGGGCAATGACTTTGGGTCTAAGTAAAATAAAATCCTTGAAAACATCAATATTTTCTCTATCTATCATAATGTTACTTATTGATTCAATAGTGAGAATTACTTACTTTGTATTGTGGTCTTTGATAATTTGCTTTCTGTAAGCAAGGTTGACTGGGTGGATCATAACAAACTGTGGCTGACTCTGAGAAGGATGGGAATCCCAGAACACTTGATCGTGCTAATGAGAAACCTATACTTGGACCAAGAGGCAGTCATCAGAACAGAGCAAGGAAACACTGCATGGTTCAAAATTGGGAAAGTGTATGCCAGGGATGTGTTCTATCTCCATATCTTTTCAACCTGTATGTAGAACAGATTATCTGGGAGGCTGGACTCTATGAGGAGAAGTGTGGTGTCAGTATTGGTGGAAGATCTGTTAACAATCTGTGTTACGCAGATGACACAACCCTGCTTGCTGAAACTGAGGAAGACTTGAAATGCTTGCTGCAGGGTCAAGGACTGCAGCCTCCAGTATGGATTGAGGCTTAATGTCAAGAAGACAAAGATTCTCCCCACTGGACCAATTGGCAGCATCAGAATGGATGTTGAAGAGATTGAGATTGTTAACAACTTTAGTCTGCTTGGCTTCACAGTCAACACTCTTGGCACCAGTAGCCAGGAAATAAAAAAAAAAGTATTGCAATGGGAAAGTGTGCTGTTAAGGACCTCTGCAAAGTACTGAAGAGAAGTGGTGTCACTCTGGAGACTAAGGTGCGCCTGATACAGGCCAAGGTCTTTGCAATCACTTGTTATGCATCAGAGAGTTTGACAATGACTAGAAAGGATAGAAGGAGAATTGATGCCTTTGAGCTGTGGTGCTTGAGAAGAGTATTGAATGTACCATGGACTGCCAAGAAAACAAACAGATTCATCCTGGAGAGGGTTAAACTAGGCTACTCCTTGGAGACAAGGATTCTGGGGCTTCGTCTGACATATTTTGGACACGTTGTAAGGTGGGACCGGTCCTTGGAGAGGGACATCATGCTTGGTAGGGTGGAGGGACAGCGCAGGAGGGGAAGGTCCCCTATGAGGTGGATTGATTCAGTGACTGGGGTAGGCTGTTGTACAAATAGAGCAAGGGAACACTACAAGATAAGATTGGGTCAGATCTATTGTTCAGCTGGTTCAGGCCATATCCTTTCTTCGTACCTATTCATTCAATGTGCTGAACATATTATTCAAGAAGCTGGACGCTATGAAGAAGAATATGGTATCAGGATCAGAGGAAGATTCATCAATAACCTATGTTACGCAGTTGACACAACCTTGCTTGCTGAAAGTGAGGAGGGTTAAATGCTTGTGGAAGATCAAATAATAGAGCCTTTCAGTATGGATTATGTCTGATAATGTCAGGAGAACAGAAATTCTCACCACTGGATTGATAAGCAACATTATGATGTTGTTGTTGTTGTTGTTATGTGCCGTCGAGTCGTTTGCGACTCATAGTGACCCTATGTACAACAGCCCTAAACCGTGCTCTATCCTGTGCCAATTGCATCACCTCTGACACACCCATCCCGATTACCCCAGTCACCAAATCAATCCACCTCATAGAGGGTCTTCCCCTCCTGCGCTGTTCCTCCACCCTCCCAAGCATGATGTCCCTCTCCAAGGACCTGTCCTTCCTTATAACATATCCAAAGTATGTCAGACGAAGACCCGGAATCTTTGCCTCCAAGGAGTAGCCTGGTTTAACCCTCTCCAGGATGAATCTGTTTGTTTCCTTGGCAGTCCGTGGTACATTCAATACTCTTCTCCAGCACCACAGCTCAAAGGCATCAATTCTCCTTCTGTCCTCCCTAGTCATTGTCTAGCTCTCTGATGCATAACAAGTGATTGCAAAGACCATGGCCTGTATCAGGCGCACCTTAGTCTCCAGAGAGACACCATTGCTCTTCAGTACTTTGGAGAGGTCCCTAACAGCAGACTTTCCCGTCGTGATACGTTTTTTTATTTCCTGGCTGCTGGTGCCAAGAGTGTTGACCGTGGAGCCGAGCAAACTGAAGCTGTGAACAATCT